ATGAATAGTCAAACAGTTGTTCTCTAAGTATAAGTTATAGGGGCACCTGGGTCGCTCAGTTGGTTAAGCACCTGACTCTTGATTTCAGCTCAGGTTATGATCTCAGGGTCATGAGATCGAGCCTTGTGTCAAACTCCACACTCAGCGTGGAATTGGCTTGAGATTCTCTCTCCCTCTGCCCCTTCTCCCGCTCTCTCTTTCACTCTCTCTCTCAAATAAATGAATAAATCTCAAAAAAATAAATATGAACTTCTATAATTCAATCATTAACTTAATTAGTTTCATCTTACCAATATTTCTCTAGTTTGAAAAGAAAGGTACTTTTTGTATTTTTGAAGGTGATCATTTCACATCAAGACAGTCCATCATCAAATAAAATTGATTATATAGTATTGATCTATTTGTATTTTTGCTGGTTGACTATATACATGCTATATACAGTACTGGGGGTGACAGAATGTGATTCAAACAAGACTGAACTGTATATTATGCTAATAAGACAAGTTAGACTCAAATATCAAGGAAAAGTATTTAACCTCTTATAAGTAAGAGGTAATTGGCTTGACCTTTCACCCTGTTTTGTTTTGTTCCCCTGTAGACTAAATTCCAGAGTATTTCTTCCTAGGGCTCTAGTAGCAAAATATTTTAAAAAAATGGATTCTGAACAGGGATTTTACAAGTGATAGTCAGTTGTCTTAGAGGACAGGGCTGGTGAGATTTCTAGGCATGGGATGCAGCATGAAATCATACACAGACAGGATTATCAGAAAGGAATAAAATAGCTCAAGAGAATATATGACTCAGCACACTGAAATGAGACCTAGGAGGAAATGAAAAAGGGATGCAAGCAGGTGGAATGCGTGTAAGAATTTGAGTTGAGGCTGAATTTCATAGGGAAAGAAAAAGAACTAGACAAAATAACTTGAGAGTGGGTATTGCTGTGGCCCTAACAGTGAGACAGTAAGACGATTTCTGGCAACAGTCTTTTGAAAACACTGGGAGGAAGAATACAGAAAAGCAGAAATAATCAAAATGTAACAGAGATTTTGCTCTTGACATACACAGGGAGAAAGCAGTTGGTGATAGTGTAAAATAAAAATATGAAAGTATTTATCAAAAGCCCAGACACAGGAAACAAACAAATAGAACTGGATATAACACATAGTTAGCTGAGACTATAGGAACTATAGGCACCCTTTTGATTATCCCCTTCTAACAAGACAATAGCAGCAACTACAATATTCATAGTAGTGTATCGATATTATGACTACTACTACTATAAAGATAGTGGTATAGCAAGAGCTACATACTTACTATGTGCCAAGCCTTTTACTGAATGCTTTAAACATGTCAACTCATGTGATCTTGTTACTATCATTCCCATTTTACAGATGAGGAAACAAAAACTTGGAAGTTTAAATTACTAGCTCAAGGTTATAGAACCAAGAAGTTATATAGCTAGGATTAGAACTTTAAAATATCTAACTCAGAAGGCTGTGCACTATAAGCTGACTTCATCAATAGCAATAGTGGCTAAGAGTGTGTATGAAATTATATAGACATAGATATATAATATGGAAATATAGATAAGCTAGTATTTAGACTTAAAATTCAAAGCTGATATAAGCTTCATTCTACATTTCATTACAGTTGTTCCAGATTATTTTGACTAAAAATGTTTATCAGATATATTCATGTAAAGTATCCTCAATGTAAGAATTAAAAATTTAAAAATTAGGAATTAAAAATCATCATTATAAAATTGACAGATCATTTTAACATATTCTTGACAGAACTCTCAAAATCTTTCTGAAATTGAATCTATGTATTAAACAAATAAAACTTAGAAAGAAATTCTGCTAAAGGGCAATTAAAAAGTAGTGATAGCACTGAAATGATCTAATAATTGTCTTTGTGTCATTTCTCATGTTTCCAATTACAAATTTTCCATTTCTCTATAACTCTAAGGACTTTCAGTAAGGACTCAAAAGCATATACCTTTTCCAAGTTTATTACAAGCCTTATAAACCTGTTAGTGTTCATTAAAGGGGAGAAACTGCATGCCTATAAACCCAGAATACTGTTTGTATAATACTGTTCAGTGGTGAGGGCACCTGGGTGGCTCAGTCGGTTAAGCTTCTGACTCTTGGTTTCACCTCAGGTCATGATCTTAGCCCTGCGTTGGGCTCTGAACTCACTGTGGAGTCTGCTTAAGACTCTCTGTCTCTCCCTCTCCCTTTGCCCCTCTCCCTCAAATAAATAAATAAAATCTTTAAAAAAAATAATATTGTTCAATGGTCATCTCTGCTGGTCTGGTATTATCAATCAAACCCTCAATGTATTTCTTTAATTTAATCCAGTGTGCCTCATTTTGTGATCCCAGGACCAGAATAACAATAGGAGACAGAGTATGACTCCATAGTACTATTATTTTCTTTATTAAAAAAAAAAAACCTTTAAGATATGATATAAAATTATACTCACTATAAGTATAGCAGCAGCTCTCTGGCAATTGCTTTTCTACAGAACTTCTATATCTTGGCTCTTCGATTTAACAACACACATTTGTGACTACAGTCCTATTTACTAACATGTAAATAATGTGGAATAATAGAACATTTAGAAAATTTGTAAGCAAGAACTCACAATCATTTTGATATCATCAAAAGCCCATGGTATACTTCCCTTGTAAACAATATATATTTAAGTATTTATGAAATGAATGAATGAACATACTATCAGATCAGAGATGTGAAGGCGTCAATAACCTAGCAATGTTAAAAAATAAAGTAAGTAAAAAATAGGTCATTAAATGTGCTATACTATCAAATATAAACTAATGGAAATGATCTTCCTGCTTTTCAAATATCAGTAAACAGAAAAAATAAAATTAATGTTTATTTAATCTTACCACTTAGAATAGTCTCAAAATAGTTACTAATCAATTACCTTTGCTTGCACTTTCTACATGTTCCAGCTCTTCAGGAAATTTCAGGATATCCCGGTATTTTTCCTCACAAATTTCAGCAATAAAATGCAAGAGGGTTGTTTTTTGATCTGCTGACTTAGTATCTCTGATCTGGAATGAAATAACAGTATTTTTAGTATATTTTCGGTAATGTAAATATAGACTTTATTCTTAAACAAGTGAAATGAATGGATGAACTCAATTCATTATAACTAATTTAAATTTTTTTAAAAAGTTAGGGGTGCCTCGGTGGCTCAGCTGGTTAAGTGCCTGACCCTTGTTTTGGCTCAGGTCATGGTCTCAGAGTCATGAGATGGAGCCCTGCGATAGGCTCTGCGCTGTGTGGAGTCCACTTGAGATTCTCTCCCTTTCCCTCTGCCCTCCCCCTACTCATGCTCTCTCCCTTGCTCTCTAAAATAAATAACAGATAAAATCTTTAACAAAAAATTTTTTTTAAAGTTAGGGGTAGCTTTCTAATGGGGTCTAGCAATAATGCTCTAGATTTTAAAAGGAACACCATTATTTTAAAATGCAAAAGATGACCAAAACCAGCCAACATTTAAATTTTAATATATAAATTTTAAAATATCTAATTATGGCAAAATGAACTATCCTCTGAGAATAGAGCATTAATTTAAGTATTGATAATTACAGTCAAAGTTAATGTGTCTTTATGTTATCAGCATTTGTTCTTTGCTTTATCATCGAAATATATTCTTGGAAGCTATATTTGTTTGTGAGTTTATATTTATTTGTAGCCATTATTGATGAAAATTAATGTAAAAAAATACATTTTACCCTGCTTGTATGGGCCATCAATAAGAAAAGCTGAAAAGTTCTTATGCTGATTTACAAATAGAATCTGACCACACAATTGTGATGACAAGTTTTTTTCTGCTTATGTACGGTATTTCCTTTTCAGAGATATTTTTAGAAAAGAGATGCTATAGTTAGAATGATAAAAATCTTTAAAGTATAGGACAAAAAAAATCTATGATGAAAATCTGTTTTAATATAACATTCATATTAGACTAAGCTGCAAAAGAAATCAAGGATTTACCTACAAACAAAGGATAAATAAGGAATAAAGTATAAAGTTCTCTCATTGTATTGGGTGTTTTAATTCTATAATCCTTAGACAATGGGTTTGCCCACTGATATGCATACTGATTTGGGGTTTTTAGCTTTAAGGATTACTCTGTTTAGAATAAATTCCTCCCAGACAGGTTTATGAAAAGGCTTTGGAAGATACTTAGGTAATTAACAGAATATTTAATACCCACTGTTTTAGTGGCAAAGGAAAAAAAAAATCACATTTAATCAATCAGACCCATACTGAATCTGTTTTGTACTACAGCTTTTTAACAATTATTTATGTCTCCAGGATATGGAGAACTTAAAGGAAATACAGTCTTAAGGCTCAATACAAACAACCACAGGAGGCATGATGTTGACGGTTCAGGTCACAAGGTCACAGTGATTTCTTTTAGAATTTCTGGGATTACTTTATCCCACGTAGGTGAAATATTTAAAATTTTGCATTATCTTGCTGATCCGCCTAATACTTTCAAGTACTACAAGGTTAAAATTTTGGGTGCCTGGGTGGCTCAATCGTTAAGCATCTGCCTTCGGCTCAGGTCATGATCCCAGGGTCCTGGGATCGAGTCCCACATCAGGCTCCCTCCTTGGTGGGAAGCCTGCTCTCCCTCTCCCACTCCCACTGCTTGTGTTCCTGCTCTCACTATTTCTGTCTCTGTCAAACAAATAAATAAAATCTTAAAAAAAAAATGACACAATTTAAGGACAAGCTATAAGAATGAACAGCAACAACACCTCAAGGGCAATTTGTGTTAAGTAAGGCCTGTTGCTCTAGAGGAATCAATGGGAGGTTCACATTCCTAAAGAGAGGTCTTTACCTGGGATTACAGGGTTAGATGTTTACAAAGTGCATCATTTTCAGAGTATGCTGGATATTACAATTTATAAGAAAATTCATGTTTTCTTTTTTTCTTACAAATTACCTGAATTCCTAAATCCTAAAAACATTAGGTGTTTAGGAAAAATTGAAGGTGCATCTTCCTGAAGGAAAGGGAATTAAACTGTATTTTATAAACTCTGTAGAGACTATACAGACATACACACACCACGACCACCACTAATAACAACAACAAAACCCTACCTAATTTTTCAGAACACCAAATTGTAAAAGTATATATATTTTAAATATTTTACATGCATATGATCAATACCGGAAAACACAAAAATAGAAAAATAGCATTATGCTCATATGTAAAATTTATGGGTGATTTAAAAATCAGCTTTTGGCATGCATACTTATGAATGCTTACTTTAAGAAACAGTTTTTAATTGATAAATATTTATTCAGAATCAGGTCCATTAATTTAATTCCTGTTAAGAAATTTAGTAGAGTCAATGGTTACATTCCAAAAAGATAAATGAAGCATAACATTTCAGCTACATAAATATCCTGGTATCTTTGTTAAAATCAGAGAGTTACAGAGAGAGCATGGGTATGCTTTAAAAAAAAAAAAACAAAAAACTGAACTATTTCTTTCAACGCATGGGCAAACATGGACAAGTGCCTGTTTTGTCAAGCTGAGGAATATCTTGGTATGGGAGACGAACTGTTAAATCTGTATTGCAATATTTATTTTTTAAATAACTTCACACAGAGAGTCTACTTTAAGGTTATAAACTGGCAGGGAATAACTGTGACAAGTATGTGGTCTTTTTAATTTTTCTCTGTATATATGACCCTTAGACCAATAATTTTAAGATAAATATATACTATTAAAATACAGGGGGAAATAATTTTTGACTTATTATATTTACTTTGTATTACCATGTCTTCAGCCTCTCTTACTGCATCTACACCATTCACACATTAGGAACTATCTCTCTCTCAGGACCTATTGTGTTGTTCAATGTCAACACAGAAGGCAACTAAGAACATTCACCTTTATCAATTCTAAAGGTTAATAGCATTTATCCAATAATTTGCTCTTCCAAGTATACTTGGAAGTTGGATATACACATCTCTTGGGGTAATCCAAACTAATCTAATCTGAGTATGTGTAAAATCACTTCCAAAGTGTTTGAGTTATTTTATTAAGAAATAAAACTGATTTCCATTTGGTATCTGGTTAACTTGAAATTATGTTAATTTTGTATTAACATCAAATATTCCATTAATACTTGTCCAGATTGCCTAAGTCTCAGTAGTGGCTATACTGTCAACATTTCAAGGTTTGCTTCCATTAGGAGCCTAGTGCCTTTTGGCAACCCTGCCTATGCTTTCCCTGTCTCCCTCTCACCAGCCACAGTTAGGCAGAGGTATGAGATAGATACACAATTTCTCTTTGTAAGATACAAAAGGATGAAAAAAATACCCTACATTCTTATGTCTTGCATGTATTTCCACATAATAAAAACACAAACAGTTCCAGAAATTGGAAATATTTGCAAGAGCTAAAAATGTTTTATAATATTTTAATAAGCTATTATCAACCAATGATAACAATAAAAATAAGATAGAGCAATTCACTATATTCACTGATAAAGCACCATCATTTAATAAACCATAGAGTGATTTTAATTATAATCATCTGACCCAAAAATGTTACACATAAAGATTAATAACTGAATTTATACTAACTGTATCTACCTATTCTTTAATAAATTTCTGAAATGGTACATGAATATAAATACGTTTAACAGAACAACACCTATATCTACAGCAAGTTCTGATAGTTTATTTTTCTAATAAATATGAAGGCTGTCTTATGAAAGATAATATTTACATTGGACATTTCCAATACATTTCCAACATTATAACTTAGGCAGATAGCAAAATATCTGAATAACTAATTGCCATGTAAAATATATTTTTTTCAAATACTTTCAGTCAAGCCTGAAAATCTAGTTTTGCCCTCTCTTTGAAATTAGGTGGTTCTGAGCACACAGAAGCCAGCACACAGTCAGAGAGCCTGAAACAACATTTTAATCATCTACGTCAGTCACACTCAATCTTTTTTTTGAAGGACCCCTTCTGTAGGTAATTTTCCCCTCTGCTGAGATTTAAGCCTATTTCTTCTTGCTCTGTCCTCAGTGGGAACTGAAAATAACTGGTCACTATCCTCTGTATAACCACACTTCACAGAGGGAAAGCTCCCTTTTCATGTGTCCTGTTCTTTAAACCAAACAATTTTAGTAAATTTAACCTCTCCACACAGATCTTAGTTTTCAAATGTTTAACTCTGAAAAGATAATAAGAATCCACTCAAAGTTTCCATTACAAAGTCTCCCTGCATCTACTAGAAAAGCATACAAACTTCTTGGTTTTGCATATATGGCCCTTTGTGAGCTGGCCCTTGCCTACTTTTCTAACATGTCCCCTGATGCTTTCTGATGTATGCCCAACTCTTTGGTCTGATTACAAATGCATGAACACACCACGTAATGTCATGCCCTCGTGCCTTTGCACATCTTGTTCTCTCTCTCGACTCCCCTTCCATCTTCCCCTTTTTGTTCTATCTGCCATGTGAATACCTACTCGTATTTCAAGACCACTCAACTATCACCTCCTATCTGAAGACTTTTCTTAGTAATAATTAATGTCTTTTTTAAGTCATGTTCCTCCACTATAAACATTTTAGCACAGTTTATTTAAGATTTTATTTATTTATTTGAGAGAGTGAGAGAGAGAGGGCACAAGTGGCAGGATGCAGAGGAAGAGAAAGAGGGAGAAGCAGGCTCCCAGCTGAGCAGAGAGCCCAATGCGGGGGATCGATCCCAGGACCCTGAGATCATGACCTGAGCCGAAGGCAGACACTTAATTGACTGAGCCACCAGTAGTTTTTTCTAGGCAATATGAGTTTTTTTTCAAGGTTAGAGACCCTGTTTTCCAAATATTTTTTATCTACAGTACTTAGAAGAACGCTAAAACATACTAGGTAGGCAATATATGTTTCTGAATTAAGATTTTTCTCCACGTAAGTTCCCACTTGCATGAACTTTAAGAGTAATACTTCTAAATTAAACTCTATTCGTGTGTACGTATGTATGTGTGTGTACATACCCATACATATACA